AAAAGATAAAAACAAGAAAAAACAAAACAAAAGCAAAATGAGCATGCTGCCACTTTTTCCTAAATTTTAACAAGATTATTTTGGATAGTGTAAGGAGGGTGGCAAAGGGTTTTTGCTCTTTCGAGATGATTCATCTTGTCAGTCCTGGAAAAAAAATGGACTCATCTGTACTACCCCTCCCCCCCCCTTTGTCCCAAATTCGCATCTTAATGGGTTCCCACGTCCACTTCTGCCTATGAGATGTCTGTTAAAGCCATGACAACCTGCGTGTATGAAGCTCGAAGGGCCAATTTTATTTATTCGTGCGTCCTCTAATTTTGGGTGAAGTGGAGCTGAAAGACAACGGCTATTGAGAGTATTTCTCAAAATTCTGCAATAGAGATCCACAATGGCTTCGAATTTCCTTACTTCATGCCTATCACTCACAGTTCATAGCCAAAACAATCTGGACTGCCTAGTTGGTGTCGCTTTTAATGTCATAATTAAATGAGGGAAAAGAGGATGGAAATGGAAGAAAGATGACCTCCTTTGATTTCGAGAAGTATAACTTCACCCTTAAAATCTTCCTGAATGGAGTGTTTTGAGAGTGCTACATTCTACAAAAGCGAAGATTTGAAGGATTTTCTGAAGACATTCAAACTAAGAGAGAGCAGTGGGAGGTAAGTCCCATGTTCAAAAGCTTCAGAACTGTTAACTGGAATGTGTTAGAACTTGCAGCGAATACCATGCTGAAATGCAGTTGTCAGGCTACATTGCAGTATAGTCATGATGTTTGTTTTTGACAGTGTTTTCCAGTACCCACCTAGGGTAAAGGGGCAACATCATAAATCCAGTCTACCAATTAATTCGAATTTCGCAACTCCCTTTAATGACCATTGCGTTCATTTGGTTAGAGTGATGGGCTGCCAATCAGTGACCCCTCATTTTGTGAACCCTGCATTCAATTTTACCAGAGTACACTTTAATGGTAATTAATATGCGTACAATTAAATTAACCTAGTGATAATGTTGAAATGGAGAGTGCCGTCGACTTACTCTGATACCGCAAGCATCAATATTTGGATTGTAGACTACTCCGAAGTAGGCATTTGCAGAAGAAAGAATGCAGGAGTGCTTGCCGAAATCCATAACATCAGTGTCATGAATGTAGATCTCGAAAAAATCAACGCCAACACTGGCCGTCTCTGGAACTGTTATACTGAATTCCCTAAAGGAGTAAAAGGGTAAATAAAAATTAATTTGACATACACCATCAACACCACCACCACAGATATCCACGCAGATTGACTTAATTTTCTTGAAGATATACTGTTTGATAGAAGGAGAAGCATTAAAAACATTTTTACATAGGAACTATCGCCTGGATAGAATTAAAAGTTTTTCAGTATTTCGACATTAAAACTAGGATGTTAGGGGGGAAGGATTTCATCTGATTCAGATCCCCCCCCCCATGCGTTCTATGAAAACGAAATTTAAAGCAGATATTAAATATTAAAATTAAGGAAAATTGCCAACTTGAAAAAGGAAGGAAATGGGTGACCAGGATGAATTTAATTTCTACAACCAACTGAAAAGGTGGCATCCAGGGTCTAGTGTCGGACCATATGATAATTGTTTTTGTCCCTTGTGGACGAATAAATTCCCCCTATTGCAGGCCAAATGTGCTTTTTGAAGTCTTCTGGATGTTTTGAGTATGGATTCCAAAGCGCTCAAATAAAGATAAACACAACATTTGATGCTATTAGCCAATAGTTCAATTTTATCTATTACCGCAGTGGGGTGTGCGATAGGCTTACCTCCACGAGGGGCCTCATGGGCAACGTATACTCATACGTCAAAAAGGTCTATTAACCGGCAGTTGACTTCTGACTTTAAACTGCCATGGCCCCACCGTATGCCATATTCTACCCCATCCAGAGTTCTCATCCTACCTTTTTCTACCTTTGTGCCTGTCTGTCACTTTTACATCTGTGAATCACTCTTCTGTCCCCACTCTTGAATTTTTCTCACTTTGATATTCCTCCTCCTCTCCGTGAAGCCCGAAGTCAACTAAAGGGCTAATGATGACTGCCAAAACGCCCACCATTTGAAATAAATTAATATTATAGAAGGCGATAAACTGGATGACTTTTAGTGAAGATTGCATACGCTTCTTTGATATTGCATTGATATCAATTTGACCATTTGACTGCCTGCTTGCCACGTTGCATATCTCAAAAGAACCCCGCGATTAATCTTTAAATAAGTTTTAATTTTCTGCCAAAAATATAGTTTCTTAATCAGCCTATTTTAAGAAGATGTCTAACAAAAAATATCGATTTAGGACCGAGTAAAGTTTCTCAGCCTTTGCATAGCTACGACCGAATGCAAAATTGTATGATTCTAACTGAAACTTATTATCCTGGATAGACCGATGAGAACTCTTTACCTCGCCGCATTTTCCAACTTCAAATGACAAGTTGGGATGATTTCATGGTGCCTCGAAAGGACGACTTCTATATTTTCGTGAAAAGATACTGGGACGATTTGGCCTCTCTCAACTCTCATTCCAGTGTTCCTGTCTTGGTACATTGTAGGTAAGGATAATCCCAAAATACTTGCCTTAAAGTAATAACTGTTTTCTATATGTAATATCTGTCGAATATCGAATATACATTGAACGTCCCCCAGATGGTTTGACACTCATGTTCCTTTCCACTGCAAACGTCGAATCGACACTAGAGAACCATCTCCATTTCCTACCTATTTCATAGGCATCTAATGTATGGCATGATTATTCTTGTTTTTTTAAAAAATTGGAGTAAGTCATCGACCAAAATAATTTATTTTCTATGTCTGCGTGTTCTATGACATCGTATTCTATCTGGAAGTAAACTCATCTGAAAATTACTTCTGAACGACTTTGTTAAAGGTACATGCTGTGTAAATATCAAAAGTTAAAATATCTCGAATGAATATGAGCAGAACAAAAAAAGCAAAATTTGTTCCTATTCAAATGAAGTAATTTCACAGTAATACCTCGATTAACTGTGCATCAAAAACCAACCAGCGTGCAGATGACGTTATGGTAATTGGTTTATGTGCACATTACTTATATACACAACCATGCACTTCGTTGGACGAATTGTGTGCTCCTAATAAAAGGTTATGTTTGAATTACTTGAATGAATAGTTCGATTGTTTTTTTCCCTTTAGTGCTGGAGTGGGGCGTACCGGTACCTTCATGGCAATCGATATGCTTGCCCGTTATATTCGTGATTTGATGGCTTTCGAAGGGCAAAATTGTCTGATGAATGGTAAAGAGGACATGGAATCGACTTTTAATGAATCAATCTATGCCAATCTGACGGATTCTGGCAAGTCAATTGTCCTCCAGAATCGTTCAACTCTGGCTAAATGCTCATCAAGTATCGATGTCTTCCAAACGGTACTATGGATCCGATCACAGAGGATGAAATCTGTGGAACAAGATGTATGATTTTTTATGGGACTTATCGTTCAAGTTTTGTTTTATCAGGTCGTGTAGAGGCCTATCCACATTAGGTTACTTACTCCCTCACAAAAAAATAAATAAAGGATATGAAATCGTTTCCGAAAGTCAGTAAACAAGTAGTTAAGTTGGATAACGGTGTATTTGACAGACAAAGTTGAATGAAGAACAAGCAATTAGGATGGGATCCAGGTCACGAGAATTAGGAAGAATTAAACAACGATTAGAAGGTTGGCAGCCTTTCGTTCTTTGTTTTGAGTTATGAACTCAACATGTTTGAATACTAAAAGTCTGTGGGTAGGGCAGCTAATGATCCCAATTTCCCAAAAGCTCATATCCAATCCTTTATAGGAACTAATGTTTTTATAATAGTGTCAAAAATAATGATAATAACATTTCAT